AACTGGCTTACCTGGTTAAATAAAGGTGAAATAAATAAATAAACGTGTCTATTACCATATCCCACTACTGAGTTGAACTGAGCCATAGCAAGCTGTACAAGGCTGACCTGGTTACGTATCCATCAAAGTTTCTGGAGCCGCGTTGGAAAGGACAATGTGAAAAGAATATATCTGCACTAGCACGGTTCAGATCGGCATGATAAAGGTTTCCACTCCCCACAAAGTCACTGCCATAGAAATATAATGAATAGAACCATTTAAGTCTTAATTGATCTGTGCGATAGCAAACTCTCATGGGATAGCTAAAAACTAGATTAGCTACAATAGACTGTCCTAACATTCGTAAATGTTACCCAAGGCGACGTCATCCATCTACCTTCGCCCATGGCCCTTTCCCCGCAAATATCTCCTCCCACAACCACAACTTGCCCACCTGTGACATGGCTACTCTCTCCGCCTGGGCACGCTGCTTGGTCCTCGTTTGGTGGGATCTTCTGTCACGTTCGTTTACAGACGGGTCAGACCAAGGCGCAGCGTGATATACGTACATGTTTATTTAAATGAATAAACAACCGACAAAACAACAAACCAACGAAACGTGAAATCCAAGGCAGCACAACACAACATACCTTAACACGGAACAAGATCCCACAACCCACTAGTGCCAATAGGCTGCCTAAGTATGTCCCCAATCAGAGACAACGAGCGACAGCTGCCTCTGATTGGGAACCACACCGGCCAACATAGATCTAGACATACTAGACTGTAAACATATAGATCTACACCACATAGAAAATCACACCCTGACTCAACAAATAAGAGTCCCCAGAGTCAGGGCGTAACACTGGTGCTGTACAACTTCATCAACAAGCTGGTAAACTAGCTACCGTAATGGCCATTCAAATAAGCTTTCTCTAGGCTGCTAGTTGGAGACAGTTTGCTCTGCTCATCGAGCTCATAGAGCATGGTTTGCAGTACTAGCCAGTGCGTCATAGTGATGGAGAGCGCAAGTATAGAGTACCACAGTATGAGTCTATTTTAAGTGTTTCCAAAATCCCCTATGGGAAAACTTAATGGTGGAAAAACGATTGGATCCATTTCCCTGTTTGACCGCTAGGTGTCATGGGTATTATGACACCTCCACTGTGGGGCTCTATTGGCTGGAGCCAGAGTGGAAGATGCGAAGCGAGAGAGATAACTGGGCCCAAAATCTGTCTTCTCCAGCAGGTGCATTGTTTTGTTTTTATCGCTCACCAAGCAAGGAGTTTTTTGTATGGAGGTCAATAAGAGAGTGTCGAATTTTGTTAACAAATAGTTTAATGGCTTATTTGCTACGTGTGGCTTATTTGTTCGAATACAAGTTCCGTAATGCTTAGGTTGTTACCAGTGTACTGATATAAGTAGGACGGACACGTGACTTCCCGGCAACTTGGAGACAAAACACTTCAGAGCCCTGTAATATCCTGCTAGGATATATTATGTTCAGTGTGATTACTTCTAGCCTATCACAACTTTTAACCAGGGCCCATAGTAGTGCACTAAATAGGGAATAGGGTGCTATGTGGGATACAGCCTGTGTTCGTATTGGTGCTGGATACCACTGGGAATGGACCACATGTGGTTTAATATGAGCTTATTCTGCAGGCCGCGGGGGCTTTATAAAATGGTACGAGGCATTGGGATAACTTGTGGATGATCAGGGCTTTATTCAGGAACGTTTTTTGGGCTACTCTGATGTGTCAAGTGGGCGAGATGCGCAGTCTGTGTTTGACTTTATGAATTTTGAAATGTCTGAGTTTAACTTCATAGAGAAACTCATTGTCCAAACCTACACTGGCGCAGCTGTAATGGAATGGGGGGTGGGAGGGCGTGGCCTGACAATTCAAGTCTTTCAAAGACAAAATGGTTGAGACATTCCCAACAAACTGTATCTACATGAAAGACATTCCAACAACCTATATCTACATGAAAGACATTCCAACAACCTATATCTACATGGAAGACATTCCATCAACCTGTATATACATGGAAGACATTCCATCAACCTGTATCTACATGGAAGACATTCCAACAACCTATATCTACATGAAAGACATCCCAACAACCTATATCTACATGGAAGACATTCCAACAACCTGTATCTACATGGAAGACATTCCAACAACCTGTATCTACATGGAAGACATTCCAGGTCCAACAGATGGGAGGTAGATTAGGGTTGGGAATTTGGGGGTTAGCCTACATTAAAGACAGGTTAATAGTTGCTTCTGACATTGCAGTGTGCAGTAGGTTAGTGCTGGGGGGGGGGCGTGGCCTGACAATTCAAGTCTTTCAAAGACAAAATGGATGAGACTTTTCACAAAACTTGGTATAATATTGACATAGTATTTGCCTCTAGGATCGATGACCTCACTATGATGGATCATCCGGCATTTTGGCCTGCTGAACCGATTTCCGCAAAACGAAATGTTCGGCATCTATAGACCAGGATCTTAATATGTTCAATAAGTTGATATTAAATGTCATGGCCGCTGTGAGCCAATGAACTTGAGTGAGGGTGTGGCCTGACACCTCAAGTCTTTCAAATACAAAATGGTAGAGAATTGTCACCAAACATGGTAAAACAATTACATAGTATGCCAGGAGCTGAGCCCAAATGCAAACATTCCTGTGAAGGAAATATAGGAGGCATATATTCTGCCGTTCATACATACATACATATTATTATTATTATTATACATGTGTCTTCTTCCATGGTTTTCAAACACTATATTAGTGTCCTTTGCTGGTAAAACAAACTGACCAATGGCAGCCCGAGTGCACTTTTCACATTTTCACAAAACTTTGTACAACAATTACAAAGTAGGCCAGGAGGTCACAACTGAGCCCAAATGAAAATTATTCATAAAATGGCAAAATAGGAAGTATAGTCTGCAATTCATGCACGCGTGCTCTTCCATGGTGTTTTAGCCTCAGACTTGCCTGAGGCGCTCATTTATTAAGACCCATGTTGGCCCGGGTTGGCCCATGTTGGCCCGGGTTGGCCCGGGTTGGCCCAGGTTCGAATCCTGCCACTGCTGCTTTCAGATAGGCATCCCTTGACAGTGAGGAAATGTTGTTGTTGTGCCTAAACACAATGTGATGACTTACAAAATAACAAATGACTTATAAAAAAATAAATGACTTATAAAATAATAAATGACTTATAAAATAATAAATGACTTATAAACTAAGGGTGTTATAAGACAGTAGAAAGGCCAAAAGGACCCTGGGTCATCGCTGCCTGCAGCTACAGTATATTTGTTATAGTTTTTTCTGTTGTTGGTTACTTTTTTATTTTTTGATAACACAGACACTTAACACTGAAACTCACTCTGATTTTTTATTTTATTTTTAACTAGGCAAGTCAGTTAAGAACAAAGTCTTAGAACAAATTCTTATTTACAATGACGGCCTACACCGGCCAAACCCGGACGACGCTGGACCAATTGTGCGCTGCCCTATGGGACTCCCAATCACAGCCGGTTGTGTTACAGCCTGGAATCGATCCAGGGGGTCTGTAGTGACGCCTCAAGCACTGAGATGCAGTGCCTTAGACCGCTGCGCCACTCGAGGGAGCTGAACTACGCAGCGACCCAGATCCTCCACTGTCCCAGACATCACACTCCCATTCATATGTTTTGTATTGTATGTTTTGTATGTATAACGTATTTGGAGTATTTGGAAAATATACTGTATACTGTATACAAGAACAATATAATATAATATAACGTTTTGTGAAATGAAAATTAATAAACTGAAATTACTATTCACATGGATTCTGTCTAATTTGAATGTATTCATTTGTTTATTTGTTGCCGTCATCAAACCAAGCGCCTCAAACATTTTTTGTTTACAGTTTGTAACAATGAGTCAAACATGCTTATGAAGAAAAAAAGATCTCTTGAAGAATAATGTTGATAAACATCTGACATTATACAGGATTATCAAAACTACTGCATGAATTTGCCTTGCCCTACAGGTATAAATGAATCCTGCAGGAATTTACCTTGTCCTGCAGGAATTTACCTTGTCCTGACGGAATTTACCTTGTCCTGACGGAATATTTTTTTTTAAACATGCAGGATCTGTAGAATTTTAGAAATTCCTGCAGGACAATACAAACAGGACTCCTGCAGAAGCGTGGCTTCTGAAAGTCATCAACTTTTGTCCTGCAGGATTGCATTAGTACTGTGGGATTGCATTAGTACTGTGGGATTGCATTAGTACTGTGGGATTGCATTAGTACTGTAGGATTGCATTAGTACTGTGGGATTGCATTAGTACTGTGGGATTGCATTAGTACTGTGGGATTGCATTAGTACTGTGGGATTGCATTAGTACTGTGGGATTGCATTAGTACTGTGGGATTGCATTAGTACTGTGGGATTGCATTAGTACTGTGGGATTGCATTAGTACTGTGGGATTGCATTAGTACTGTGGGATTGCATTAGTACTGTGGGATTGCATTAGTACTGTGGGATTGCATTAGTACTGTGGGATTCCTGCAAGTCACCTGCACAATTCCTTCACAGAGGCACAAATTCCTGCAGGAGTCCTGTGGAACTTTTTTGTGAGGGTCACTGACAAATATTAGGAGAAAACCTAAACACTTCATGGTGATAAAAGAAAGAACCAAACTGAGACCATTATACTGAAATGCAGTTGTTTTATTGATGTCTAAAGGGAGGACCATGAGATCAGAGTGGGGGGGGGGACTAGGTATATTAGTCTATTGTGATTCAGAACACAGTTTAGAGCTGTGTCTGGGGACCCAAAGGGGAGCATGTTTTAGTTTTTGCCCTATCACTACACTAAAACACTAGATTTAACTAATCAACTCATCATCAAGCCTTTAGTTGAATCAGGTGTGTTAGCGCTAGGGGAAAAAAGAACTATGTGCACCCCCCAGGTCCCCAGTACCAGGATTGGGAAACACTGGTGTAGAGGGTGTTTGGAATTAGAGTGAGGTCAGAGTTTTGACAGGTTGTTGTGGATAAGAGGAGAGGCTTTGGTCTAGGCTTGGGGCTCTCAGGTGGAGTAGTACAGGGTCTACTGTAGGGGCTCTAGGGTATAGGAGTGGTACAGGGTCTACTGTAGAGGCATTGGGGTGTAGGAGTATTATAGGGTCTACTGTAGGGGCTCTAGGGTGTAGGAGTAGTACAGGGTCTACTGTAGAGGCTCTAGGGTGTAGGAGTAGTACAGGGTCTACTGTAGAGGCTCTAGGGTGTAGGAGTAGTACAGGGTCTACTGTAGAGGCATTGGGGTGTAGGAGTATTATAGGGTCTACTGTAGGGGCTATAGGGTGTAGGAGTAGTACAGGGTCTACTGTAGAGGCTCTAGGGTGTAGGAGTAGTACAGGGTCTACTGTAGAAGCTCTAGGGTGTAGGAGTAGTACAGGGTCTACTGTAGGGGCTCTAGGATGTAGGAATAGTACAGGGTCTACTGTAGAGGCTCTAGGGTGTAGGAGTAGTACAGGGTCTACTGTAGAGGCTCTAGGGTGTAGGAGTAGTACAGGGTCTACTTTAGAGGCTCTAGGGTGTAGGAGTAGTACAGGGTCTACTGTAGAGGCTCTAGGGTGTAGGAGTAGTACAGGGTCTACTGAAGAGGCTCTAGGGTGTAGGAGTAGGATAGGATCCCTCCCCTCTTGATGGAGCAGCTATGCTGCCAAGTTCCGCTCTTGATGGAGCGCTCACAGGTCCCCAGCAGGTCGTCGAAGATCACGTCTGAGTCGTACACCTCCAGCCTCAGGGGGTCGTTCTCACGGGCGTTGAAGAAGTTGAAGTCCTCCTTCCACCAGGGGTCAGTGTCGTCGTTCTTTACCTCTGTCTTCCCACCGTAGCCGGAGCCCATAAACACCTGAATTATAATATTGATGATGATAATGATGATAATGATAATGTTAATCATCATCATAAACATCACCGTCATGATAAATATATATATATATATATATATATATATTCATATTGTAAAGGGGAGAGGGGGATCTCATCCACCACCAATGTGTATCACCCAGACATTTGGCACCTGACAGATCACCACACATCATCTATCATGGTGGACAGGTGACTCAGGTGAGGAGAGATTTACCTTGACGTAGGCATCAGGGGTCTGGAACAAGCCGCTGTTCAGGTCGCTGGCACGGAGGTTGAAGACCTTGAGAACCTTACGTTCCTCTGCTGCATAGATCTGGACCACAGCCAGAACACACACCACCAGCAGGCAGCACAGAAGAGAGGAGGAGGACATGGCTCTCAGTCAGATAGGGCTTGATCCGTGGAGGGAAGACAACTAGGAGAGAGAGAGAGAGAGAGAGAGAGAGAGAGAGAGAGAGAGAGGGGAGGGGGAGAGATAGAGATAAAGGAGATAATATAAATATGTCAGTTGTTTCCCTAAGAGCAGGTCACAGAGCAGGAATAATGAAAACACTAACACAGAGGAGAGAAAGACAAACAAATGAAAAACACAAGTCCATTTTCAAATATAAAACATTATAAAGTGAACCCTTGTTACATGACTCCTGGAAGGTCATAATACCTGTGTTCTGTAGAGTCTGGAGATGAGCGTCTATCTGTCTGTCTGTCTGTCTCAGGGGAACCAACCACTGACGGTTTTTCATATGCCCTCTCACTTTTTATAAAGACCCCCTCCCACCACACAAAAAGGCATCGCCTCCATTCCTCCCCACACAGAAATGCAATGGCACTCCACAGGTGGCTTGTTCTCAGTGATGCCTCAACCAATGAGATAACAGTCTGCGTTGCCAAACAACAGCAACACCTACAGGTATTATTTCCCTCTGATTCTGATGAAATGAAGGCCAGGCTTTTGAATTAACACTTTGAGGGCTAGTTTCACAGCCAAATGAGTGAGGGAAAACGTTACTAGCTGTCAAATCATTGCTTCCTTGTTTTCTCAATTCCTCTCAAAGCTCATTGGAGGAAGAGGACCATGGGAGGGACCTTGGATCCTCTCCTCTCCTCCAATGCGCTTTGAGTAGAACTGAGGAAACAAGGACGGAGGAAGCAAGGATTTGACAGCTAGTAACGTTTTCAGACACAGCCCAATAAATAAATGAATGCTGATTGGTTAAAAGCGCATTCCAGCCGGTGTCTATTCCAGAAGTTACCACCGGCTAAATCTAGGACGTTAAAATGTCTATTTACTCTGTTCCATCTCACTGCGCAATCCACTGTCTCATCAGCCCAGCCAGGCAATTTATAAACTTGATTTCCACTATAAAAGCATCTAGACATTATCTCACATTTCTTTTAGACTAACATTTAGTTTTCAACATCAGAGATTTGTATAAACCTTGCTGTCTGTCTCTCCAACATTTGCAACATTGTTTCAATATTCAAATTCGATCTCCAGCTGTACCATAGTAATGAACGTGTCGGGAGTCTGGACATGAATCAGCTGACATCATTATTAAGCTTAGACCATATTGTCGTTAGATAATTAAGTGATAATGCCCTCAAAGCCGGTGTTTGGAGACAAAGTCTCGGGCCAAACAACACCCGTGCCAATATATCCTCCAAACACCGGCTTCTCGGGCATTATCACTTAATTATCTAACGACAATATGTTCTAAGCTTAATCATGTTTATGAACCGATCATTAGTCCCAAAGTCATGTACAGTATAGAGATACTTTATCTGTATGTCTATATACCATATGGCTCTGTAGTCATTGTTAGTTAGGGAGGAGTTGTGCGGAACTCTGACCAGCTTGCCTGTGATGTTATGTGGAGAAAAATAATGTAGCCTACCCTGGGATACACATATCTGATGAACAGGACATTGATATTACTGAGTTGATCATTGATTGGTTGAGGTAAGACTGGCCAGTTAAGCAGCTGTTGGAAGACAGCCCTTTCTTTTCGTTTCTGGTTTCTTTATCTTGTGTCGTGGGGTAAGATGATTTTGTCTTCTGGTCAGCCATTTCTTACTTGATTGCCTGATGTTGACTGTTTATGAGTGTATTTTCTGTTTATGTAGGTTTAAACGTCAGATTGGCTTTTAGCTTGTTTTTGTTTTCTGTTGGCAGGAATCCCAAATGGCATCCTATTCTCTTTATAGTACATTACTTTTGACCAGGGCCCATAGTAGTGCACTAAATAGGGAATAGGGTGCTATTTGGGATACAGCCTGGGTTCGTATTGGTGCTGGATACCACTGGGAATGGACCACATGTGGTTTAATATGAGCTTATTCTGCAGACCGCGGGGGCTTTATAAAATAGTACGAGGCATTGGGATAACTTGTGGATGATCATGGCTTTATTCAGGAAAGTTTATTGGGCTACTTTGATGTGTCAAGTGGGCGAGATGCGCAGTCTGTGTTTGACTTTATGAATTTTGAGATGTCTGAGTTTAACTTCATAGAGAAACTCATTGTCCAAACCTACACTGGCGCAGCTGTAATGGAATGAGGGGTGGGAGGGCGTGGCCTGACAATTCAAGTCTTTCAAAGACAAAATGGTTGAGACATTCCCAACAAACTGTATCTACATGGGATGACATTCCAACAACCTATATCTACATGGATGACATTCCATCAACCTGTATCTACATGAAAGACATTCCAACAGCCTGTATCTACATGGAAGACATTCCAACAACCTGTATCTACATGGAAGACATTCCATCAACCTGTATCTACATGGAAGACATTCCAGGTCCAACAGATGGGAGGTAGATTAGGGTTGGGAATTGGGGGTTAGCCTACATTAAAGACCAGGTTTAATAGTTGACTTCTGAACATTGCAGTGTGCAGTAGGTTAGTGCTGGGGGGGGGGGGTTAGGGTTTAGGTGGGGCTGAGGAGAGGTGAAGGGGGTGGATAATGCCAGTTTTAGATGGCAGTTGTGTAAGCACAGCACAGCGAGGGGCGCTGCAGTCCACCCATCCTATCTGTAAACAGCTCTGTTACTGAGGGCGTGGCCTGACAATTCAAGTCTTTCAAAGACTAAATGGATGAGACTTTTCACAAAACTTGGTATAATATTGACATAGTATTTACCTCTAGGATCGATGACCTCACTATGATGGATCATCCGGCATTTTGGCCTGCTGAACCGATTTCCGCAAAACGAAATGTTCGGCATCTATAGACCAGGATCTTAATATGTTCAATAAGTTGATATTAAATGTCATGGCCGCTGTGAGCCAATGAACTTGAGTGAGGGTGTGGCCTGACACCTCAAGTCTTTCAAATACAAAATGGTCGAGAATTGTCACCAAACATGGTAAAACAATTACATAGTATGCCAGGAGCTGAGCCCAAATGCAAACATTCCTGTGATGATAATATAGGAGGCATATATTCTGCCATTCATACATACATGTGTCTTCTTCCATGGTTTTCAAACACTATATGTTTCATGATGAATGCCTAGTGCATAGGATTAGTGTCCTTTGCTGGTAAAACAAACTGACCAATGGCAGGAGGTCAGGAGTAGGCCAGGAGGTCACAACTGAGCCCAAATGAAAATTATTCATAAAATGGCAATATAGGAAGTATAGTCTGCAATTCATGCACGCGTGCTCTTCCATGGTGTTTTAGCCTCAGACTTGCCTGAGGCGCTCATCTAATTTTACATTTTAATTTTAGTCAGTTAGCAGACGCTCTTATCCAGAGGCTTACAGTTAGAACAAATTTTTTTTTTTTTTTTCCCCCCCTTGGGGGCCCCCCCCAACCCCCGGGGGAAACCCCCCCCCCCCCCCTTTCCCCCCCCCCCCCGGGGGGGGGCCCCCCCCCCCCCCCCCCCGGGGGGGGCCCCAAAAGGGGCCTTTTCCCGGGAAAAAGGGGGCCCCCCCCCGGGGGCCCCAAAAAAAAAACCCCCAAAAAAAAAAATTTTTTTTTTTTCCCCCTTTTGGGCCCCCTTGGCCCTTTTCCCCCCGGGGGGGGGGGTTTTTCCCCCCCGGGGCCCTTTAAAGGGGGTTTTTTGGGGGGGTTTTTTTTTTTAAAAAAAAAAAATTTTTTAAAAAAAAAATTTTTTTTTTTTAAAAATTAAAAAAATTTTTAAAAAATTTTTAAAAAAAAAAAAAATTTTAAAAAAAATTAAAAAAATTAAAATAAATTTTAAAAAATTTAAAAAAAAAAAAAAAAATTTTTTAAAAAGGGGGGGAAAAAAAAAAACCCCCCCTGGGTAAAATTTTTTTTTTTTTTTGGTTTTTTTTTTTTTTTTTTTTTTTAAAAAAAAAAAAAAAACCCCTTTTTGGGGGGGGAAAAAACCCCCGGCCCCCCCCCCCTCCCAACCCCCAAAAAATTTTTTTTTTTTTTTTTTTTTAAAAAAAAATTTTATTTTGGGAAAAAAAACTGGGGTTTTTAAAAAAAATTAAAAAATTTTTTTTTTTTTTTTTTTTTCCCCCCCAATTTTTTAAAAAAACCCCAAAACCCCCCAAAAATTTTTTGAATTTTTTTAAGGGTCACTGAAAAATTGGGGAAAAAAAAAAAAAAAAAAAACCCGGGGAAAAAAAAAAGAAAAAATTTTTTTTAAAAAGGGGGTTTTTTTTTGGGGGGGGGGTTGGGGGAAAGGGGGGGGGGGGTTAAAATTTTTTTGGGTTTTTTGGGAAAAGGGGGTTTTTTTTTTTTTTTTTTTTAAAAAAAACCAAAATAAAATTTTTTTAAAATTTTTAAAGGGGAAAAAAAAAGGGGGGCCCCAAAAACCCCGGGGGGGGGGGGGGTTTTTTAAAAGGGGGGGGGTTTTTTTTGGGGGGGGGTTTTAAAGGGGGGTTTTGGGGGGGGGTTTTTTGGGGGGCCCTTTTAGGGGTTTTGGGGGGTTTTAGGGTTTTGGGGGCCGGGGTTTTGGGGGCCGGGGGGGGGGTTTTTTTTTTTTGGGGGGGGTTTTTTGGGGGTTTTTAAGGCGGGGGGAGGGCCGGGGGGGAAAAATTTTTTTTTTAAAAAGGGGGAAAATTTAGGGCTTAAAAGGGGGGTAGGGGGGTTTTTTAAAGGTTTGGGGGGGTTTTTTAAAATTTTTTTTTGGGGGGGGGGAATTTTTAAAGGGGGAATTAAAATTTTTGGGGGGGGGGTTTTGGGAAAACCCTTTTGGGGGAAACCCCCCTTTTTTGGGGGGGGCCCCCCCCGGGGGGGGGGGGCCCCCCGGGGTTTTTGGGTTTACCCCCAAAAAAGGGGGGGTTTTTCCCCCCCGGGGGGGGGGGGGTTTTTTTTTTTTTTTTGGGGGGGGCCCAAACCCCCCCCAAAAAGGGGGGTTTTTTAAAATTTTTTTTTTTAAAATTAAAAAAATT